TGAAACGGTCCACGACGATTACTAGGTATTGTGCTGGAAATTAAATCCGTTTCACTTATGGTAGTTGCTGTTGAAGATCGTGTACGACCATCTGTAGTGAGATCATTCGTTACAGCTGCACTTGGTTCTACTTGGGATCTAAAAGAAAAACTGATATCTAGGCTAATGCTCATAAATCACTATTAATTCTTACCCAATTAATAATTGTGCAACCGTTCCAAAACTACAATATTCCATGAAAAATAAAATATGATCTTGTTCAAGTGCAATGCCACGATAACGTATGAGATTTTCATGTTCAATGTGAACTATCGGAACTAAACATTAAGAAACAAATTATTTTGTAGCATCTCACTAATAAATTACAACTTACTTAATTGTTCTAAAACTTTTCCAATTGCTTGTGCGTCGTTTGGCTGAATACGATATTGTTTGTAACACAACACCTCGCCATTTTCAGTTGTACATGTGTAAGCTGAAAAGAAAAAGAAATAAACTACAGCGATGTTTTTTCTAAAATCGAAGTTACAGTTACATTCTCAAATGTTTCAAAAATTATTTAAAGTCTTTGCCATCAAATTTTATGAGTTATTACGCATTGTGTAAGTGTAACTTCGTAACCGATGAATAATTTTTAAGTCATTCGAATGAATTTTGAATGATTTATGAATTTTTTAATTTCAGCTTAAATACCATGAAACTTCCATGCAACTTAAATACACCATGAATACCATGCAACTTAAATACATGAAAAGTACTTCATAATCATTGAAGTACTTTTCATCCTCTTCTTAGAATTATTCTTGAAAACAAACATTGTCACAAGACCAAGTATGGTCGATTATTTAATATTCTCATAAATTTGTTTTTTGTCACATCTTAGCTATAACAGATGAGGCTATTACACTTGAAATGATGGGCTACTAATATAAAAGATCAAATATGTTTCGCTTTGAAGTTTTTAATATACTAGCTGGTTTTTTCAATGATATTTTCCATTCTCGATAGATCGTGTATGTGCTGAACTATTTTTGTGAAAATAAACAGGATTTTGAAATCAGATGACAGTTTCATACTTACACGTAGCAAATTGTCCACGAGCAAGTAATGAAAGTTTACGCCAATTACGTATTTTTAATCGAGCTAAATCTTCTTGCACTTTATTTGGTATAAGTGGCATTCGACTAAAATCAGAAAAAAATTGAAAATTGAATATTATTGGCAAACAATAAACGAGTAAATGTATACTTACGATCGATTATCAACTTGTTTTATTTGTCCAATGAGTCCATCCGACGATCGTTTTCTATCAATTGCTCTATCCATTTTTTCTAATTTTTCGACTAGAGTTAATGGTACTTTATTTTTTTTTGTTTTTTGTATTGAATTTTTTCGTGGTGGTACAATAGTTTTAAACGGATTCACATGTTTATCATTTCCATCCATTGTATTTGGTGTTGAAAATGATGATGGACAATTGTTACTATCACACCGATAATGATGACCAAGTAAATAAACGATAGCATGTTGCATATTTTGATAAAATTGTTCAAAGGTTTTTTCATCAATATGTTTTGAATAATTTATATCACAAACATGTTTTAAAAACGTAATGCCAGGCATTGACCATACCGGCAATGTATGCCCTTTTCCCGTCGATTTTTTATAAACAAATTTTAGCCAATTTGAAGCCAAATTTATTTGTCGTCGAGCTTGTAATACTAGACTATTTTGATCTAATTGCAATGCAAAATAAGATGTTTCACGTACAATATCCATAGCAAATGCGAATAAACGTTCTTCAGTATGCTGAACGAAAAGAAATCAATATAATCTACTAAATTGGATAATCCAAGTTTATTAACTTACCAAAAATGTTCGATAAATATCTCGTTTTTCATTATCTGACTTTTGATTTATTAAATTCTCAATTAATGACTCAAATTGATCAATATCACCACAAATATTTTCACTTAAATTTAATACAGCATGATTTAATTCGTACATGGCATGATCTACTTTTTCAAAACATGAACGTTTTTGTTGTTGTGTTCGATCTAATTGCAATAGATCATTTAAATTTAAATTTAAACTTTCTAATTTTTCATGAAACATTGTAATAAAATTGTCAAACTGTTGTGTCTGCTGTGTTAAAAGAAATATTGATGTTGTTTTCCAATTTGAATGAATTGGTTTTATAGATGTTAAACATTTATTTAAATACATCGGTATGGTACGTTCAACACCACGCCATTTATGAGCTAATTCTTTGGAAACTGGTACACATAAAATATAAACAGATGGACAATTTTTTAATTTTAATGATTCATTTAATTTTTGTTCCTCATCTTGTGATATTATTGTTGGTAAAACAGAAGTTGAAGAATCCATAGATGATTCCAAACGAAATGAAGATGATAATGTTTTAAATAATTGAATTTTATGTTGATTATCTTCAAAATATGTAGCTGGTGCAAATAATAAACATTTTGAATCAGAAGTTTTGTCATTTAGCTTAACATTGTCATCGAATGATCCTGAAAAATTCTAACAACGTATACCCAAAAGAATGTAAATAACAGATAAATACATACCATATTTAATTCTTTGAAATCCTGCCGTTTTTAATATGGCTAAAAATCGTTCACATACTGGTTTTTGTAAATAAATATTTAATACCATTGCACAATCATCATAAATTTGTTTTGTTTCACGTAGTATGGCCATAGTTAATTTTTTATTATATTTTTTATTAATTTTCTTTTTAATAAATTTAGCAGACGTACTAATATCGATAGATGATGATGATGAATGAAATATTTGAATATAATCATTAAATTTTGAGATGAATTGTGACCACATATTTAAAAATTTTTCAGCAATATATTCTTCTTCATTTAAAACAGTACCATATTTTTTTATATATTTCCATTGGTCTTTAAGCATGCAAATAAGGGATGAAAATAAATGTGATTTCAATGAAATTTCAACAAATTTTTCGACATATTTAATATATTCATGAATAGTACTAATGATATGTTCATCAAATTTAGCAATTTCTTCTTCTAATTTAGCTAATTCAGGTTTTTCTTTAAATAAAAATAAAAACAAAATGTCAAACTTTTTACATTAATTTTTAGTAAAAAATATTCTATCGTATTAATAAGATAAAATTTTATTTCATTTACATACTAAAAACCTGTAGATCGAAGCATAATTCTCAAAGTTAATTTGTTTCTGTTTACTTACCAAGTATATCATAAATCATTGTCATGAAATATTGTCGAATAAGTACACTACTATGTATTAATACTTTACATTCATCTATCAATAAATGAATTGCACCCAGTGTTGGTTGCCGACTTGTAATATCAAATTTTCTGTCATGATGAAGTTGATGCCACGCAAACATTAAATCAAATGGGATAAAAGCTAGAAAAATATATTGTGGATAAAGTGTAGGCAAATGAAGTATTTCTGAATAATCATGAAATTTATCATAATCTAACCAAACATGAGAATTTAAACGATAACAAATTTGAATTATTTTTAAAATAATTGAAATTTCATCTCGTGATAATTGACATGGCATTGGAATATTGGGAAATGAACATGGATCGGGAAATAATGTACTACCCGGAAGATGAGCATAGTTAGATGAATCAAGAAAATCGAGAAAATAATTTTGTCGTCTAATAACCGTACGATCATTTGCCACTAATTTTTGAACTAGTGTAGGTGCCGAAGCTGGTTGAAATCCTGAAGTTGTAATTGTTGGAGTATGTTCAAGACGATTCATGATATTTGTCACATTTTGTTTTCCTTTATTAATATTAACTTTTGTCATATCTAAAACAAGAATTAAAAATGGTAATAATATTTTTTTATATATTAACTAAGTCTTATAATTAGACTTACTTAAATTGTTTATTGACAATTTTTGTTTTATCGCTTGTTTTCGTTGCAATTGTATATTGAGTTTAAAAAATTCATTCATCAATGTTTCTGGTGTTTCTTTTTTTTCTGGTTCATCATTTAAGAATAATTTATTGTTTTGTTCAGATGGCATACTGGCAGTCAATGATGGCAATAATAATTGTTGCCAAGTATTTTTTTTATTTTTATCTCCGAATGGTGTCATTATCAAGGACGAAACTGTTGAATCGGATGTAGTTGATGAACTTCCACCAGTTTTACTTGATGGTTGTTGTTGTCGAAATGCATAATGTAATCGTTGTAACAATGGCCCATGTTTATTTTGAAAAATAGATGATATGAGTTCAACTCGAGCATGTGTTAATTGATCATCGATATAGCGATAATAATAATCGATTAATGATGAAAATGGAGTTAATTCAACACTATGTAAGGATGAAATTGTTTGTCGATGATGGTTATTGATACTGGCAGACTGTGGTGAAGAAAATGAATTGGATGTTGAGACTGTTGATGTTCGAGAGATACTTGAATGTGTTAATAACTGAGAACGAGAGACTGTAATCGGTGAGGCATCATCGTTCAGAAGATAAGAAGATGTGGGAGGTAAAATTACAGAACCAACAGAAATTGGAGATTGAAGATAAGAATGAGGATGCGGTTGAAATGATGGAGGATGAGTCGAAGTTGGAGATGTTTCTTCGGGTGATCCATTACGATGAGGACTATTATCCGATGTAACAGAAGTAAATGAGGTGGGTGTCGGTGGACGACTAGCAAATAAAGTAGAATTTTCATGTAATTTTGGTGCAGTAGAACATTCAACTCGTGGCCATGAACTACATTGACTACAAGACATAATTCGTCCGAGAACAATTATTAAACGATTTATTTCCGAATGTAAATTATACCAAGCCTGAAAAAGTGCTAATTTTTCATAGAAAACTTTGCCCTCTAGTGTTTTTGAATTGAATCGTTTATCGTATAATTCTAATTCAGCAGTAGATGGAAATAAATATAATATTTTTTCCCATTTTGAAAATAATTGTCTCAATTGATAATCGACAGATGCACAACGTTGTACATGTTGATCAGACAAATTTTTTCGAACTATTGTTGCTGGTAGTGGTTTTAAATCTGAATGACTATGTTTAAACTCGTATTTAAGAAATACATGATAAAATTCATCCAATTCTTGTTTACGTTCTAAATCAATTCGCCTTTTTTCTTCTTCAATTCCTTGTTCATTCAATGTTCCATGAATATATGCTTGTAATTCATACCATATTTCTTTAAAATATTTTTTACGTTTTTCTGAATTCTCTTTAATATCATAAACATCAAATGAATTTGTTTGGTGAACCATATTATTTTTATAATGTTCAATTCTATTGGTCAAATCTGAACGTCTTTCATCACCTAGAATGAATTACAGTTAAATGTTTAAATTTTTTTTTCTCACAAGAATTAACCGTTTACCTAGAGATTGTCGACGAATTTGACGTTCATTCTCTTTTGTATTTACTGATTGTCGTCGTTGATGATATTGACGTTCTGTACTATCATTCTGTTGTTGATGTTTTTGTTTTCGTTGTCGATTATATCCTTGTTTAATTATTGTTGATGGTGCTAATGGATAGGGTAATGATGAATGATTTGAAATAATTGGTGGTGATACAAGATCATTGTGATGAGATTCTGTTTTTGTTGTTGTTGAATGATTATCATCAATATCGGATGTTAACACTTCAATACCAAGATCTAAATCATCTTTTTTATTATTATGATTGGAATGTGATTGGAATAATAAATAAGGATTTAATCGTCGTCGAAGATAATTTGATGGTAATGATAAACGATGTGTACCTGTAAAACGTTTTGTTGTTGATGTTACATGTGGTATAGTAGTCGATAGTGGTTCTGAATTAACTGGAGTTAATGATAAACGTCTTATATAAGTAGATGAAGATGAACGTTTATTTCCTTTTTTTGTTTTAGGCATTTTATATCGTTGTCGATTTATATTATGCCGTGTACGACAATATGAATTATACGGTGAATAATAATCATTGTTTTTGAAAATATTTTTCTTTGATGAGCCATCAATATTGATATGCTCAGTATCTGACACATGGATGTCATCCATTAACTCCTATTAGAGGTCAGGACCTAATTAACTCTTAGAGCATAGGTCAAAAAATGAATAAAGAGAAAATAAATCTAAAAACGAAGTAAAGGTATCTTATTGTAGTTTTAGTATATAAAGACAGACAATTAATTTAATCTTCGCCAGATTTTATATATATTCATCAAAACATTTTAAAATTGTTTTCTAATCGATCATAGCATAGGATATGGATGATGTAGCAGATCATACATTACAAAAAATCCTTTTTATTTCATTCTTTTTGAATCTTAATATTTCAAGTACAGGCGTGTGTGTGTACATTTGGGAGGAATATGAGTAAGCCTTAGCCCAGTACAAAATTTTTTTTGAGTGTTTGATCCGACATTATTTCTTCGTTTATCAACCCTGAACAAAGTTTGTTCTGAAAAAGAGATTAACATGAAAGCAAGATCTACATTCAGACTCACGGAACATGTGATTATCCTCCTTACAGAACCTCAAATATTTATCCTTGATTATAATAGATGAAAAAAACTTCTGTTCAATGACAAAATGTTCGACCCATCGATTTTCTTAATTTTGTGAACAACAGTTCAGAAGTCTAAAAAATTTTATTTCTGTCCCTGAGATTCGTCACATCTTGCCTCTGTTTTTTCAAAAAGTGACCGTATTTGGTTACTTGTGATGAAAGAATTAATTAATTTACTAAAATAGTGCAAGAAAAAAATTAAAGTGTTTTGGATTCAATCGTTTTTGTGAAAAATACCTTGTCATGCAAAATTCATTTATTCAGATGAAAAAAAAGAAAAAGAAGCACCACATAATAGCAATATCAAAACAAGTATCAGTACACACACAAATGCAAATATCACACGAAAAAGTTAGAAAAAAAAATGCACACGTGTATTAAAAGAAAACCTACAACCATCATCAAAGATATATTATTAGTTATCATTTCAAAATAGTTCAGACTAGATCCTGTCGATCATAACAAACTTTTTATAGATTTTTTTGGACGGAATAGATGTTTTTGGATAGTTGGCATAAGTACTGTGACATCAAACGAGTCAAAACCATTCGATACGAAAAACAATAAAAAAAAAACGAAAGACATGCTGAGATAACAATATCAGATCAATGATCTGATAAAAAGAAGAAAAAAAAACTAAAGAAACCAACACTTAAGCGATGATTGTACGAGTTAAATGAGCCATTTTATCAAACTGTTCAAACTATACTAATGAAAATAAGATAACATGTAAACAAACCTAATCTACATGAATTTCTCCACATTGATGAACGCTTATTCAAAAAAAAACCGTATGCTGTTCAACAAAAGAATGTGAAAATAGTTTATTCTAAAATATTTTCCTCTTCATATTTATCAATAATTGCTTTAATTAATTTACATCGTACTCTATCACATTGGCATGGTATTGGATGAGTATCTGTTTGCGTATTATCTTCATCACTACTTGTGCTTGTACTACTACTAGTTGTTGTTTGTTCTTTGTCATCGGCGTTACTGTCACTTGCAGAAGAAGTAGTTGTTTTAATTATTGTTACACGTTTTGTTAAAGATATCGTCGATGATCGTCTTCTTCGTCGCCCTCTTCGTTTTTTTTTCGTATCTGACATGTTTCCACTAATACTCGCAGCACTTGTTGAATCATCATCTTTGCTATATTTTTTAGTATTCTTAATTTCTTTCAATACGAGACTAAGTTTATAATGTCGATGATTTTGTTTTTCTTGTTTTAATTTAACATGCACTGGTATAACATCACCATTGACCGGATAGATATTCTCTTTTAAAAATACTAATGTTTGTTGCCAATGAGTTTTTTGTGCAGAAGGTGATGTACTTAAAACAACTGAATGTAATATATTGGAATTATTTGATGAAAAATAACAGTCAAACCAAAATGCAAATCCCGATATAATACAATCTTCTTCTATATAATATTCACAATACGACTTAATTTGTTTAATATCATCATGTTTAATAGTTTTTAAATCAATTGAATAAATTAGTTGTTGATCATGTACTAACTGTTGAGTTTCGATTGTTTGAATAACACATTCAGTTAACGAAGAATTTGGTATATATTTTAATAATGGTTTTAAATCCAAATCGAAATAATCCATCCACATTGTTTGTTTTTCACAACGAACCTAAACATATACACACACACACACACTGTTATTCAAGAGTCTATTTTAATTAATTGATTTCATTTATTATCTACCTTATCATCAACAAACGGAGCACAATATAAATATGCATGAGAAGGAAATATGATTCCACTCTGTTTTAAGTTTCCTTCATCGTCATCGTCAACGATATCAGGAGATGGAGGTGGACGAAGAAAATTATCGCGAGCATAGATAATTGATTCCACCATGGATTCTAAATAAAAAAATTTTGAGCTAAACAATTATATGATGATTTAGTTATTTAATTAATTAACCGTGAAGAAGATAAAAACCCATCCATTCTGAAATGATAATATCGACATAATCATCTAATTCTACATGTTCTATTTGTTTATTAATTATTTGTACAACATCTTGCAAACGATTATATTTAACAAGTTCATTTGCGATCTTACATATGTTTGGACAAGCATCTACACCATACACTCGTTTTGCTCCCGCTTTTGCTGCAAACATTGATAAAATACCTTAAAATATTTAAAAAAAATTTTATCAATATTTTTACTTAAAACTGAAAGAATTTTACTAACCTGTGCCTGAACCGACGTCTAGAACAATCTAAAATAAAAAGATCTGTAAACTATCGTAGTCGTATCGATAAAAAAAACCAAAAATTTCATACTTTATCTTGGAATAAATGTTTATTTTTCATCATAGCATCATAGTATGCTGATACTCGCGCTCGATCTCTTAACATCAGCTCATGAACTTGAAAATTATCATAACTTTCGAAGTAGGTACGATCAACATCATTGATTACATTAGATTTAGGCGAATGAAATAATGGATAATCTAAATCCATTGATACTTTATCACCATTTTCTTGTTCGTCGGTCGTGATGTTATTATCCATTTATAAGAAAAATCTAAAATAACGAGAAACATTATGTTTCAGAATACAAGTAAATAGTTCTTTTATTGATATTTGTAAGCGATAAAAATATCGCCAAAAAATTTTAGTCAAATGTACATTGAAATATCTGTAGATAATGTACAGTTAGTTGCTAAGTTATATATATATATATATATATAAAGTTAAATTTCGATAATTGTTCATAATACAAAAACATATTAACAAACAAATAAAAAAATCAATAAATTACACCGATTAATTCTATCTCTTCTGACAGTATTCACAATTAAAATAAAAATAAAAGAGTTAAAGAGAAAAGAAAAAGACATCACTGTTCTTTGACAGCTTGAGTGTTCTTCACAATAAAACTGAAAAGCATGTTTTGATTATGCTCAAGTGTGGATTATAATATAGATTTTGAAAAGAAAATACAGAACATATAAAAGTATTACGTACAACGAAATGATACATAAAATTGAAAAATAGAATACATAGAAAATATATTGCACATAACAATGGAAATGTGTATATCTAACAAGAATATATGGTTATGACTAACTATAAATACAGGTGAAAAAAACCAATGGAATTTATCGATCACGCGTTTAGAAAAACGACAAGTAGAAAATATTTCCTAACAATTAAAATAGCATTGTGTTAAAATGTTAAAATTGGTACCTGAGTAGACTCAAGGATATCTAGAAAGAAAATTAAACATTGTTTCATACACGGCTCGTTTAAAACTGGTATGAACATTCAAATCAAACGATAATATTTTCTAGTTCAATAAACCGACGTCTGACAACTGAACTGCGCTCTACTTTTTAACTTACCTTTGACGATTATTTGACACGGTAGTGTGATATAAGTTAAACATGTGTTCAGTTGCAAACCAATTGGCTGTTGTAATCGAGAACTACCTCGTACCCAACTCATAGCATTACTGAATGTACGTCCAATAAAACTGCTTGTACCATCAGTCAATTCTTAACCGATCATGTAAAAAACAACATAAAAATAAGATGATAGCACAATAATACAAAATTTACCCTGGTGAATATCAGCCGATTCGACTATGGGAGTTGTGGCAGTTGATTGCGATTGTTTAAAATTAGCTGGCATCCAACGATTCAAACCAGCGCTTGATCCTCGCTGATTAAACTAAACAAACCACAAGAGAAAAAGTATTTGTCTATTAACACTAATCATTTTAAAACATACACCCTCCTCGTCGAAACTTGTAGACATTGGAGTTGATGGCATCGAATCAGGAGTGGTTAATCCGGACTGCATTGTTCGACATCGACTAACAGCCATCTCTGCATGTCCTTTTCCCTAATTAAAATAAGAAAATTGGTCATTATTCACAATAAAATCATATTTTTACTCACATTTGGACCACGCATGCGAACAAATTCTACACGCCTTTTTGAATAGATACCGAATGACATTCGTTGAGCAACACGTGTAGATGTTGTCGCCTTAAATAGATAGAAAACAGAAGTGGAATACGTTAGATTTATCTGATTTACACCAAACGATGTAAAAATGTCGGAGAACCTTATAAGTGTTGATCCGTTTTTAATCAAAGATTCTCATTGCGACTATTTATAATCCAGTTCGGTTTAGAATGCTAACGTGATTGTTACTACAATACATAAACTTTAAAAATATTTAGTCTTACTCTTGTTTCATAAACTTTTTTTAATGCTTCATATTTAATTGATCCAAGAAACAGAACACGTGGTTGACTTAAAGCTGGATTTGTCGCAAGTAATTCAACACAAACCATTTGACCTTCGTTCACAACCATTTCAAAAAATGTCTAAAGTAGGAAAACATAAAAAAACTTAAACAATTGCTATTTTATTTATACTAAACATATTAAAACTAACATCTTCAAAATTGTCAACGGTAAAGTAAATATTTGGATAAGTGATTTTTTCTTCTGTGCCTTTTGTATCCATTTCTCGTCGACTAGGGCTGGCGTAAACTTTCTGCAACAAAAATAGAACATTAAAATCATATATGTTAAACAAGAGGAATAAACATACTGTAGATAGACGTTTTAGTATTTGTAAATGTTTGTTGCTTGTCTTTGTACAAACGGCGCATGTTACCGTATATTCAAACTATAGAACAAGAGTCACACGATTTTATTGATCATGAACAAAAATGATTTAAAACTTCTTACTTGATGTAAAACAAGATTCAAATTTGATGTTTCTTCCCAATCGTAGTTTACATCATTCAAATTCGGTAAACGTTTTGAATCGTGATAGCGAAAAACTTCGACTAAGTGCTGAAAGAGAGAGAATAAGAAATCTTTAAATATTTTAAACATTTAACAACTAACGAATGGATGTTGAAAATCATTTTGCAGTTTTCGTGTTACATAAAATATCAAATCATCATCGACTCCTGATTGCGGCAAACGCGTTGTGGATGAAAGAAAATAAGTTTCAAATATTTTTGGCCAATTTGAATTGATTTGTTGGACCATCACATAATCGTCATCTAAATAAAAACAGTTTTGCAGTTCCGTCATTTGTGCTTGAAAAATCGGCTTTTTACCTTCGTGTGATCGATTTTTATTTCGTTCATTTATCATGGCCAATAGTAAATCACGAAGTGAAGGCATCTAAAAATAAATTATATGTCTTGTACTGTTCAGGGAATGTTTCATCAATATTCTTCTTAAACTTGAATGATCACACATCAAGTCTCGGCTTAACCTTAATTTATTTAGCATTTAAAAAATCTCATCTAACTTCGTATTCATATCGACTTTACAAAAATTAATCTTAATTGAAGGACGGGACTTAACTGAACTGGCGGCTCATGAAAAATTTGAAGTGTCAATTTAAGTTTGGTTTCACTCCATATAGCATAATCTCACGTTCAGCGTTGACTTAATACATTTCCAAAGTTGTCCGAAATCGATGCCATAAAACGTCATACTGAAACAAGCTAAAAGTTGACTCAAGTACATGAACTTAAGAGTATTGATAAAATGATCCACTAGAAATCCAAAACGAGTGAAAGTGAGAATAAAAAGAATTATAATAAACTTCCTATTTTCTCAAACAACATTCAAAGTCTTGTCAAGCAAGAACATTCTTTTCTTTACCTGACTTTGATGTTTTATCATTTCAAGAAACGAACCTTGACTCATCAATTACTGATCGAAAGATGACTCTTTCCGGTTACTCTCTCGTTCGTCTAGATCCAAATCGACATACAGGAGGTCTCACAGCGTATATCTCCTCCACCGTTCAATTTTCAGTCCTTGATTTTTCTAACACTATCGAAGAACTTCTAATACTTGTGCAGCCTTCTTCGTGTGATTTTGTTCTATGTAGCTGTTATCGTTCACAATCTGTTCCTGTTCATTTCTTCCTTGATGTTCTTTGAAATTTTGTATGTAAATGTTTCTGTCTCCTCTAATCTTGTATTGTATGCTGATCTTAATCTAAATTTTCTTATATCTTCTGAAACATATAATGTTCAAAGTATTTGAAATTCTTTTTTTGTGTTCTTTTGTTGATTTTCCTGTAACTACTGCTTCCAATTCCTCTATTGACTATATCTTTTATCCCTCTTCGTGAAATCTCCTTTCCTTCTCTTCTTTTTCTCCAATTCTCCTCCTCATTTTGTTTACCTGTTGCTTTTGATGTATCTATTCAATTTCTTTCCTCTTCCACTTCTTATCGTTATGAGTTTAAAAAAGCCCAGTAACCGGAACTACGGGGTTCTCTTTCTATTATTCCCGCTGGTCTCTACACGGCTACCAATGCTGATACGGCCACTCATATTTGGCATGAGCACGTAAACGATGCTATCCATAGATTCGTCCCACTAGTGGCTATTCGTTCTCTTTCTTCTTCTCCTTCTCTAAAACTTGCTCGTTTAGTTTCTATCCGTAATAAACACTTATGTGAATTAAAACATCGTCATACTTCTACCAAGTTTGCTGAGTTCCCTAAGGCAAGGAATCTTGTTCTTTCTTCGTGAAAATTCTTCTTATTGCGTACCCTCTTTGGTTTCTGATCTTTGCAAATTTTGTAGTTCTATCAAAAACCTGTCTTCTTCTCAGTCCACTTTTCCTCAATCTATGTTTTTTGAACCCAAATCTGTTTTTTTGAGAGGCGAATAAAGCCGATCTTATCAATTTTCATTGTTCCTCTTGCTAGGATTAAATTCTTCCCTCTGCCGCTGCAGAATTACCAAAGATAGGTGATCTTGACTTCTCGATACGAGATATTGAGAAGTTACTCCGTTGGATAAAAAGTCGACAGCTGGTGTTGTTGGAATCCCTTCTTGCTTTCTCACTTCCTATGCTTTTTACATCATATCTTCATTTCATTTTTCATTTGTGTCTTTCCGACAATTTCCCTGCTTTCTGAAAAATTGCATAGGTTGCTCCTATTCACAAAAATGGTGCTCTTGCTGACGTTTCTAACTACCGACCCGTCACTCTTCTACCTGTTGTTTGATTTATACCTTTCTTTTTTCTCATCTCTCTAAATATTCCTTTTTGTAAATAAACAATTCGATTTTTACCGTATATATTCGACTCTCGACACTTTGTTGCTTTTATCCTTGGCTGTCTCTAATTTCTGGGGCCTGTTTCTTAAAAAAACTTAAGTAGAAAATCTGACTTAAGTCAAACTTAAGTCCAAAAAAGTCTTTGTCTTTTTTGACTTAAGTAAGATTTTCTACTTAAGTTTTTTTAAGAAACAGGCCCCTGAAATGCTGGTGTGAAGTGTGTTGGTGTGTCTTTCGATTTCTTTAAAGCATTGGACTCTGTTTCTCATTCCTTTTGGTTGCAAAAATTATCTCGTTGTGATGTAAGTGATTCTTTATTTTCTTATCTTCGTCTTATCTACCAAACCATTGACAGTGTGTGTCTGGAAATAACTGTCTCTTCCGGTGTATCACAAGGTAGTGCACTTGGACCGCTTTTATTTTTCATATTTATCGATAATCTTCCTCTGTCTCTTCTACCTAATTGTGAGATCTCTCTTTTTGTTGATAATGTTTTTTTGATTGATCCTTTATTTTTTTTCTCTTGATTCTCTTGGTTTTTTCCACGTTCAAAACTGTATCAATTGCATCTCTAACTGGGCTACTTCAAATCTTATGTATTTGAATGTGATTAAGTGTTCTCGGATCCCTTTTTCCTTTAATGTTTTTTCATTTGTTTACAAACAATTATATCTAAATAGCCAGAGACATTAATGTCTAAAAATATTTTTACTGGCACTTCATCGGCACCAGTGCCAGAAAGATTTTCAAGTTTCGCACTGATGCGCACCCATGCAGACTAATACTTTCTCATTGGAAGAGGTGCGCACCGATGCCGAAAAAGTGTTGATTAGAAATTTTCTTACTTTATCGGCACTTCTAAGCACTAATGTCAAATTTTTTTTCAATCACCGTTTTGTTTTGTCGACATTCGTCTATAAAAACACTACAGTATACTTGTAATGTTTCGAATGTCGCCTTGGCTTCGTCTCTTCCTACTCATAAGAGAAGTGCTGAGACAGTGCCGCACTACAGTGCTGTACTTTAATTAATGCAAAATTAACTATAATAAAGGACTGCCTAAATACGTCAATGCGGCACCTTTTTTGGCATAAATATATCGGCACTGCCTGATACGGGTGCGCCCTGATTTTTACTAGTACCGCACTGGAATTTTTTTTTGTAAGGTTGCTCGTCCTTATCACTGCAAACTGTGAGCATTGAGCTGTGTTTTGAGACTACCTCCATTGAAGGTTCCGCATCGAAGCTTTTTTTTTGTTCTATTCTTCCTAAACTTGATTATTGTTGTACATTATATGACGATTCTTTTTCTCTTTCAGTTCTTGACTTTGTAAACAAATTTTCTACATGCGTTATCTCTAATAATTATGATACTTCTAGCGCTGTACCTGTGGCTCAGCTTTCTCTTGCAGATCTTTCTGTTCGCCGTAAATATTTTCGGCTGGCACAATTTTTTAAAATTTAACATGATTAGTCCTCGTCTACGTTTTATCCAATTCTACAGTCTTCCTTACGCTGTCTTCATTCGCAATACGTTCGTATTCCATTGCTGGTCAACGGTATTTTCCTCATTTTTCCATGCATCTATTACCAACTGGAATATCCTTCTAGGAACGGTTATTTATCTCTCTTCTGTGTCTCCGTTCAAAACTGCATTATCAAAATATCTTTCACAGTAACTTTCAGCCGTGTTCTTAATAGTCAACTCTGTCAGTGTTATTCTTCTTTGTATTTGTTTTATTTCCATTCTCTTATATTTTCTCTATATTGGTTCCCTGTTTCTTGGTTTTCTTATTTTGTTTACTATTCATAGCTTCAACCTCTACTATTTGGCTTGGGTCATTCTTATTATAGGTCGGGGACCTTGATGGCTCTTAGTTTTCGTGAATAAACTTAAAGAAAAAAGAAGAAAATTATAATTTTCGTAAACGTCAATTGGAAGAGCAAAATGTGAAGTATGAGCATAATTACACCGTGCTACGGCATTTTCTTTTTTACACCGACTTTGCATGTCGCTCTCGAATAGAAAAAAAATCAGTCGGTTAAAATTAATTCTATTCGTTACAAAACAACCCATAGAAATAAAGGACTTAACCTTTATGAAAATATAGTTGCCATTCTTACATATTTGGAAAAAGTCAATGGAAAAAGAAATTTGGATCATGATTGTTTAGAGCTGAAATTTATTTTATATTTATATTCCAAAATATTTTTGAAAAATTTCGAGTTAGTCATTCCTATTAAATTTGGAATGTGAGAAAGACAACATGGCGTCGTCGTCTTGAGTATTTTCTTTTTTTTAGCATTCTTCTTATTATCGTTCTTCATGAAATTGATTGTATTTTTAGCATTTTTTCATTGAGATTCCTCTTTTGGTTTACATATTGTATATTGTTTGAAAGTATTTCCGCTGGATCTTCCAATCCAAGTTTGTATTTTATTAGTACCTTATGTACTTTAATTTTTTGTAGTCAACAATGAAGTGATGTTTTTGTCTCAAAATGAAACTTTTTCAGCGTATAGACCGAACATAAGTAGAGTGGTTTTCTATTTTGTTGTATGAAAAACTTAGATGGATTACACTAAAGCACATTTTTCGTTGCAGCGAAAGTTTATGAAAAGATTGAAGAATTAGTGGAACGTCTTATCTTGTGGACAATCTATTCTGATGCTTCACAACAATTCACACAGCCAATATATATGACGATCAGCGTTATCGATTAGGGGGTGGCAAACTACCCCCTCGTTTGGATACAGTTACTCAAAAAATTTTGACTTACTCAAATTTTTTAAGAAATTTAAGTTGAGAAACTGCCTTTTATGCACCTGAGTAAGTGATTTTCTCTAGCTTCTGAGTAACTCAGTTACTCAGAAAAGATTTTAGTCAAAAAATGTCTTACCCAATAAAAAAACTTTAGTTACTCAGCAGGCTCGCGACCCCCCCACCAAAACTACTATCAGAAACACTGATGACGATTTTGTTTTCTCGTATTGTAGATCTATTTTGAGAAAATATCAAATTTTATGATGGGCTGTGCTACCAGTGCCGATGAAAAACGTCAAAAAGAGGTAAGAAGAATGAAATGAGAATTTCTTATCAATATCCACATTCATAGTATTTTAAATTCCTGTCGTTTTTAGAATATAACATTTTTGAATACCCATTTCGTGTAAGAAATTTTTCCTGTGTGAATTTTGATATTTACACTAACGCTCATTTATTTGCTTTATTTATAAAATATCAAAAAGACTTTCTACTTGTTTATTTTGTTTTGCTAATACTTTTTAATGGGTTTTTTTATGCTGTTTTTTTGCTTTTATTCCACTAACAAGTCATAGCAAGAGTTCTGCATTAACATTAAGACGTCTCTTTTGATATTTGAATGGAATTTTCTTCTTACAATGTACATGAGCATTGAATTTTGCTTGCTAAAAACGGTCTGTTGATAAAGCTCTAAACTTCTTTAGTTCTAACATACTAAAATCAGTCGCAACTCTTTATATATGTCTCACTCATCATTGTGATGTTATTTTTTTTAGTACAGCAAAGCACTTGATCGTTTGATAAAAGAAGATGCTGAACGAGCGGCCAAAGATGTCAAACTACTTTTATTGGGTAAGTTTTGTAACATATAATAGAAACCACATTGTCATGTTACTGACTCCTTTTCTGACATTTTTGTATGGCCAATACAATCCATACGGTCACGCTTTTAGTTCATGAGATTTTGAGGGTTGTACAGATTGGTGGATAAGTGACTTCTTTAAGTAAAATACAAACTTCTTAGTATTATAGTTTTTAAAATTTCTTCGTATACCACTTACTGAAACGCTTGAGCACTAGGATTGTCCAGGTGTATCAACCAAAACACGTAAGTCCGTAACGGTTTGAGAAAGTCATCGTTTTTCAGCCAAGCCCGTCTCATTTTGCAGCTTGAAGATTTTTCTTTCAAATAGTAATTAAGAAAAGTCTAGCTCTACTCCAAACATTTGCCGATAGTTCGTGCCAATAAGGTCCTTTTTATAGGAAAGTGGCGTATACCAAAAACATTATGTCACTTAAACTAGTCTAGACTTAGTTTAATTACCATCTAAAAGAAAAATCTTTAAGCTACAAAATGAGATGTTTTCCAGCTCTGTACGTTTGTTGACTGAAGAGTTATAACTTCTACAAACCGTTACGAACTTATGTTAAAGTTGACTTTTACGTGGACAAGCCCTTATCAGATGTTGGTACTGAAAAGTCTTCTTCTACCGTTCAGCAACTTAGTATTATCTTTAGCATTTTTTCTGTCACATGTGTTTAAGTCATTTAAAGTGTTTCTTTTTTATTTTAGGCGCTGGTGAAAGTGGAAAATCGACTATTGTTAAACAAATGCGTATTATTCATCAACATGGATATTCGAAAGAAGAATTTGAACAATATCGTCCTGTAGTGTATTCAAATACAATACAATCACTTGGTGCCATTATTAGAGCAATGAACATGTTAAACATACAATTTTCATCACCCGAACGAGAACAAGATGCTGCTCGAGTATTAGAAGTTATTCAAAGAATGAAAGATACAGAACCATTTAACTCTGAGTTATTACAATCAATGGAGCGCTTGTGGTCAGATTCCGGTAAATTTGAATATGAATATTTTTTATTTATCTTTGAAATTCTATATTTGGAATTGTTTTAGGTGTTCAACAATGCTTTTTACGCTCAAATGAATATCAATTAAATGATAGTGCTCAATATTTTCTTGATCAATTGTATCGTATAGGTTCACAAGATTTTTTACCCAATGAACAAGATATATTACGTACAAGAGTTAAAACAACTGGCATTGTTGAAATTAATTTTTCATTTAAAAATTTAAATTTTCGTCTATTTGATGTTGGTGGTCAACGATCGGAGCGTAAAAAATGGATACATTGTTTTGAAGATGTTACAGCAATTATATTTTGTGTTGCACTTAGCGAATATGATCAAGTTTTATATGAAGATGAATCAACGAATCGTATGCATGAATCATTAAGATTATTTGATAGTATATGCAATAATAAATGGTTTGTTTATACCGGAATTATATTATTTTTGAATAAGAAAGATTTATTCGAAGAAAAAACAAAACGAAGTCCATTAACAATATGTTTTAGAGAATATACCGGACCAAATGAATATGATCCAGGTTAGTATGACTTTAGTATCTTGTTAGAAAAACGAGCATCTTCGGGGGGATAAGATTTATCTGAGAACTATTTATCCTGATTTGTTAAAGATGCTCTTACGAAATAAAAAGGACGAAATAAGTGGAAGAAATATTATTGATAATATAGAAAACAGGTTAAAGCTGACGGAACTTATACGAAAAAAAAGTTGAAACTTAAGGATTATTTTTACCTAAATTTTGGTTAAATACTGGCAAAGTTTCATCAAAATTCAAGATGAAGTCTAGATTTTCCTGCAAGATTAATCTTAAGTCTATTTTTTTGAATTAGAAATTTAAAGTATCGTCACGAAAAGCATTTACATGTCGATTTCATCATCACATACTACTTTTCTATTTTAGCTGCTGAATATATTCAAGCACAATTTGTAGCTAGAAATAAATCAACTCAAAAAGAAATATATTGTATGTAAACTAAATGTTTTCTCTTTTTTGTTGTTGTTTGTTTCATTCATATTTTATTTATTTGTAGGTCATCATACTTGTGCAACAGACACTCAAAATGTACAATTTGTATTTGACGCTGTTACTGACGTTATAATTACGTTGAATTTAAGAGGATGTGGATTGTATTAAACTTGAACATAAATAGAAAAAATTTTTTATTTCTATTCACAAATTCAAATAATCAATCTAGTCTTTATTTACATTCATTAAAATAAAATTATATTTTTCTTATCTCTTATTTGAATCCAGTGACTCTTTTTCTTTTGACAAAGTTTTTGTCTCTCAACTTTATCTAAAAACAAATAAATTTGATCTCTTCTTCTGCTCTTTGGTTCTCTTGCCTATTTTGTTGTTATTCTGTCTTTTTTGTTTGTATTTTTCTCGGCTCAAACTTCGCTTTTTGTTTGACGTTTATTTTTTGCAAATTTTTTTATTCGAATCTCTCCACAAATAATCGTAAATTTGACAAAAAGCGAACGAATGAGGATTATGTAGTAGTACATTTTCAAGCATATGACTCATATAAACGTTAAATGCTCAGTAAGATTCCGCATCCATTGTTATGCAACACTTTTTCAAATAATAAAGTAGAATTTTGTAAGATCGACAAATAATTTATATTACAAATTCAGCGTTTAGAGTATGACCATTTTGTAAAAAGGTTTTTATATTAATATGACATTGAGTTTGAATCACGATAAGTTAACAATATGCAATAGGCAGATATACTATGAACTTCTATGAAACCCATTCCCAATTGAATCGTAGTAAAACCTCTACCAATAGAAAAGACTTCTCTTTTTTCTTTTTTGTTGTTGTTTCAGTGAAACAAACTATTCTAATTCTTTTCTTTGTCTTTATATGTGAAAATTTGTATTTTACCTTGTTTGAAAATGCACATACACATGTTATTTTTATTTTTGTTTATTATTGTTGTTTTCTGTTTACTTTCCACACAACAATCACTAGACCAAACGCCAGCATTACAAACAGAAAACAACAGATCTTCTGTTCCTTGTCAGATCTGACATTTTTTTTTTTTTTAGTTTTTTTTTGACCATTAGAAAAACCAAAGAAAAAGTTATATAATTTTTTTTTCGTTTGTTTCGCATTAAACAATAAATCTACATATGTATAGTTTCTGTATTCCAATATTTGAGAGAGTTATTTATTACATTGAATGTATATCTGTATTGATCTCAGTTTATTTTTTGCTGGTTTTTCTTTTATGCTGAATTTATGCTCCTTATCTGCTCATATTATACTCAAAATATACCTAGTTAAATATTACAATATTCTAAACTACTTTCATTACGTCGAATCTGTTAGATTATTCTTAGAAGTAATCAAAAAAAAGTGTTGAACTTAAATACAATCACTATGAACAGTTTAAAGCTGTCATCTTTTTGCACAAGAAATTGTACAGTTCTCACGATGTACTTCTATTGAATTATTAGGAACATGTTCTCCTATAAAATTGTGTAAGTTCCTTTTTTTTTTTCATCTATGTGTTAATAAAACATTGTCGTTTTTGGCTATTGTTGGTTGGTTTTTTGTAATCGCATTTATATCCCGTAATGTTATCTTTTTTTGTGTGTGTGTACATTATTCTTATATTCTTTTCGCATGTAGGTATCTTTCTTCTTTTGTCTCTCTCTTTGAAATAAACAATTTGATCGCGGCTAGTTAAACGCAACCTCAAGTTTTTGGATGCAAAACAGATTTCAAAAGAGTTAAAAAGGATGTGTCGTTAAAGATGAACGTAGTGCTGAACCACATAGATAAAACAATTTTTGCATGAATAAATTATTTATCCTAATATCTTCAAAACTAATTTCTGATTTTTGAAAATAGTACTAAAAAGCAATTTCCTCAATCTAAATAATTCGATTCTTTATACAATATAGTTTTAGAAATCTTAGTTTTTTCAAGATATATAATCATACGAGGGCTGGGCGAAAATCAAAATCCGGAATATCCAGAAAGTGGCGAAATTGCTGATATTTAGGGAATTACCATTTCTGACTATTCTACCTTTTATGACGCTTATTGTCGCTCTTCGGGCTCACTATCACGTAACTCCCCCCGCCTCCCACCGCACAAATAGTATTGTAAGTTTTGTCTATGGGGATAAAGTGCCTAAATTTCTATTGTAAAATATTCGCGGATAAAAGTGTACTAGTATTACAGTATCAGAGTATGAACATAACAGATATCACTACCTCGGATATTCGTCCATCTCTGAATCATTTACACTGTATTCATAAAAGCAAAACAAAATTAGTATTGCTCTATCGACTAGGACAAATTTTTATGTATTTAGCCAGCTAGTAAGTAGAAATTTTTCTCATTTGCACAAACGTGTAAATGTCGTTTAGTTCTACATAGTTCCTAAAGTAATAGTTGATACAAACGTAAATAAACTATTGTAAGGAAGCTGGCAAGCTTATCATATTTTATCTGTCTAAGACAAAAATGCTGCTGTCATTTAAAATTTTCTCTGTTCTTCGTCAAAGATTTGCTCCATTATATACCATTATTTTCATTATTAATAATTATGTCTTCCGTTCGTTCCTCTTCTCGAATGATGTGCGATAATGATAATGTTTTGTAGAAATTATCTTATCAACGAATCCATCTAGTTCAATCTACAAAAAGGATTCATTTATATATTACTTCGTCAATTTTAGACAGAAGAAACGAAAGATGACATCCGATTGACAATACAACGTTATGGCAAAGATCGAAACAGTCATTGTGCAAAGATATTTTTTCAACACTAAAAACAGTTTAATTCATTTATAAACACAGAGAAAGTGATTATTATGGGTTAAGATTGAAAAGATAACGGAATAAAGAACACCCGCAGAAAAGATCATGGTGTCATATTCTCTGTGACTTAATGTGATATTTTTGAAAAAGAATAAATGAGTGATTCTGGTGATTTTTGCACCGTTCGATCTGAGCTTCCCTAGTTCTCTATTAATACTAAATCAAACTTTTAGAAGTTTATGCTATTTTATTCCGGACACTTTACTCTATACATTTTTCTTCTCTGAAGGTAAATGAAACAAAGGTTTCTGTGAAAAATTCGACGGAATTTGTGGTCCTCGAAAAATAAAAAACCGCGTCCCGTCCCTTTTGAGTCTGCAGTCAATCACTTACTTTTCTTCTTGAAGTTATGCAGAATCATTTAATCGATCCGTTGGTACAAACCGCAAGCGTCTAGACTCTTCCATCTTTACACGAGTGATAATTTATTAGCTACGCCTACCATGGAACACTCAATTGTCTCATCCTCGTTTAAGCTTCTCCTGAGCAACGTATATAACCTAGAGACTCGATTTGTTTACTCCATATGTGGAATGACTAACCATTCAATGTCTAAAGATTTGAAGGCTATCGCTCACTTGCCGGGAGAGAAATTCCAAAATACATCAAAATGTCTCTGAAATCGTAACGGCTAACTCATAAAGCCACAAATTTTCAGATTATATGTATTTTTGAAACCCTGAATCGAATGGTCTACTCAGTTTCTGGAAAAACTGGCTTAGGAAAGGATTTTAGAAAAATCCAGATTTCTAAAGACCTAAGCATAAAACTTGTCAAAAACAATTTTTTAAGCATGCCAATTACTCGAATATATATTGAAACCTATGTTTCAATACATTTTTAAGCTGAAAAACAGAAAATCGCAGTTTCGATCCTGAATGAAAAAGTAAACAACGAAGATTTTGACAGACAAGAATTTGGTAGTTTGGAAATAGGCTTTTTTATAGACTAATAAACTAAAAGTGACCATTTGCCTTGATATATATTTTAAAACTGTATATATAGACATCTACATACATCTTAAGAGCCATTTCAGATAAGGGACGTCCGATTGCCACAGAAGTTGCTCAATCGACTTTCTTAAAAGTTAATTTTAATTATATGGGTAAAAGTACAAGTCATTGTGAATTTTTTGCCGCAAAGCGCGGCTCTCGGGCGATCATTACTGAGTTATTGAATTTTTAAAAGAAATGGACACTTTTTTTGATGATGAATTAGTTATAATTAAATCTGGTGACGGTCGTGCCATTTTTTACCCAAGTCATGGAGAGTCACAACAATTTAGTCGTATATACAACTCCTATCCTTTAGACCTACAAAATGACGCAACTCTCAGCTGTAGATGTCGCTGCATCACCAAGTTACAGATGTCGGTATTTGCCCAATACTAAGACCATCAATTATTTTCGAAGTATTTACCTTGTTTAGGTTCAGGTCTTCAGGGTAGATACTAGAAGACTTGCTCTACAAAACTGTTGAAACAGAAGTTTGGGATAATTTGAAAATCAATCAGAATCTCTGGAAAATCCAAATCTCAGAAAACCAAGCTCCCAAATTCAATCTAAAAATTCTTTGCACATTAGTCCACATTAGTCCGCCGAGGAAACATTTTTGCAGAAAATGAGACGTTTGTGACCTCTTTCGGACATTTTTTCATGAAACAGCATTCAATTTACGGCAGGCCCTATGTGCATATCTTCTTGTTTTCCGTTAGTTTTGCTAGTATGGGACCTTCCGTAAATTGAGTGCTGTTTCATGAAAAAATGTCCGAAAGAGGGACAAATCTTTTTCTTCTTCAAATCTTTTTTCAAATTTGTTCTAGCTATTATGATCGAGGAGAAAAATGAAAAATAGAGGTGGCGCACGGTTTCTGGATCCATTGCAGGTTTAAGCGGTACAGTATTTAATACCCCAAAACCGCTACGCAGCTTCCTTAAATTTTCTATTAACACATGGCGTAGAACTTTTCTGGAGTTCTTCGCTGCCGTCGCTGATGGATAATTCAGATTTCCTGCGCCGCTACCGTTTTTTGGAGGTAAAATACAATACATACATGATAATTATAGTATGTTTAAGGATTAAAAACAGTGCAGCTTTTGTTTCTCTTATTATTTTGATTGAAAATAAAATAAAAAATTTGATAAAATTGACAATGGATCTTGGCTTAAACTAAGTTTCGTATTCAAATTTGGTTGCGACCCTCCGCTGACGATCCAAAGTTTTAAATAATCTTTTAGTCTCCACCGACTGTACATTTTGTTTAGCTGCCGCTGCCAAAGGCGGAAAATCTTTTAACG